GGCCGCAGCCACCCGGCGGCACCGGCCCAGCTCGGGGATTGGACCCACCTGGACCGGCTCGAGACCGATGGGGGAGGGGCTGCAGCGGGCGTTGGCGCAGGGCGGGGCCCTGCCCTGCTGCAGACCCCAGCGTCCTGTCTGCAGTGTGAGATGATCCAAGATGTCCCCTTCTCTTCTCCCTCCTTGCTTCCAGCTTGTCCCCTGGCCCGCCCTTCCTTCCCATCGTGGGTCTGAATGCCAGGAGTGGCCCCGGCCCGGATGTCTGGAGACCTGGCTGGGCAGAGAGACCTAGGGCTGGGAGCCTTGGCGTCGGAGAAGCTATGCTGACCCAGTTTTTCCTGCCTCCACCCTGCTGGGTGGCACCGCGTTGAGTGTCAGGTGGTTGTCCCTGTAAACCTAGCAGCCCCCCAGCCAGCGCCCCCACCGCCATCGGGCTGCGGCCTTTTCTCAAGTGGGAGCGAGCCACTGGAAACACCTTAAGCTCCCAGCTGGCCAGGCCCCGCCGGCTGACAGCACACTGAAGGCTAGTGCTCCTGGGTGCGTGGCCCCGGGGGTTAGACAGCACTGTCCCCTCACCCCACCACTGCCTCCTCAGCTGCCCTGGGGTGCCGCTCTCCCTGCGGTTTGGACTCGGCTGAGTGGACCTCACTCGGCTTTCCCAGCAGCGCCCCGAGACACTGCTCTCTCTGAGACCATTTTCAGTAGCATGATGCCACCTATAGAATGTACCTGGAATTAGTCGGAGCTGGGCTTCGCAGTCAGCAGCCCGGCGCTGGCCTGGGCGCTGGAGGAGGCTGCCCGCCTTCAATTGTACTGATGGGGATTGTGCCTCAGAGATAGCCTGCCACCAGGCTCCCAACTGGCCTCCTCCTCTCGCCTCTCTGGGTCCCCTAGGCAGGTGGTGGACACTGAGGAAACTGAGGCTGGTGTCTGGCGCAGCTGGGACAGAAACTCACAGCTCTCACTAGTAGTTGCCATCTTCCCGGGGTTCTGCGTGTTTGTCTGCAGTCAACACGTAATTCCTGAGACTCCAGAATCCCAGTAAAACCTCCTGAATGATCCCAGATGTGTCGAAGGTGAGGACTAAGAAACTGCTCTAGACTTCCCACTCTGAGTCCAAATACCCAGTTTACAAAGAGAAACTGAAGTAGGGAGAAGGAGTGACTTGCCTAAGACGATGGCTTGCTGGGGACAGAGCAAGCGAGGGTCTGAATCCAAATCTTTTTGTGCCCAATCCATTACTGCTGGTATTACCTGGGCATGCCTCCACAGGAATGGGGCACAGATTCCGTGCAGGGGTGGCCTGTGGGTCCAGGAACCCAGGGCCCATGCATGGGGACCTGCATGGCCACCTGTCCTGCCCTAGAGGTGCAGTCAGTCGCTCTGCTGCTTCCTGTGGGTGAGCAGTCCGTAGGCGGGCCAATCCTGTTGGTCCAGGACTTCTTGTTCCACCAGAGCCTCCAGAAAGTTCAGGGCCAGCGCTCATCCCCCTTCTTCACCCCAAGCAGCTGTCATGCCAAACCCCTGGCCCCGTCCAGCTCGCAGTGGAGCTGAGTTCCAGACCACCCTGTCACCCTGTCGGGACTGGCTAGACCGCAGCTCCCCTGAGGCACCGCAGCTCCTGATGACAGACCTAGATTGAGTCTCCTGCAGCTTAGTTTGGTTTTGGCCAAGTGGTTTAACCACTCCAAGCCTCTTCACCATCTTTAAAATGTGGTTGATGACACCTCCCTCCAAGGGCTCGATGAGGAATGAAAACGCAGTTAGGGGAGCGACCAGCACGGAGGTTGGCACGCAGCAGCCCCCGCTCAGCAGGGAGCTGTGTCCACCTCTCTGGCCACAGTTCTTCCAAGGTCCTCTGTGCCAGGATGGAGGCCGGGTGCTGGGGAGACAAGCAGTCAGAGCCTGTACACTTCGGTCAAACGAGGGCCCCTACTCTCTTCATGAGCTTCCCTGGGTGAGTTGGGTGCTGGCAGCTCCAGTCCTCTTCCTGCCCTTGATCAGCTAGCTCCTGGCTCTACCCTCTGCCCAGCCCTGCTGTGACCCAGGTGGCCACTGCACTCTTCTGGCCACCAGTTCCCTTGAGCCCCTGCTCCAGGCCCTTTCCCATTTCCCCAGTGGGGAGAGGGTGCCAGGGTCCCTAGCAGCCAGGGCAGCAGCACTGCCTGGCTCTGGGAAACAGATCCTAGGGCACTTTTTCCATCTTGGAAACAGCAAAGTGGGGTGTGTGTGTGTGTGTGTGTGGCCTGTCTTCTTGATGTGAGGCCATCACGGGACAGACACTATCACAGCAGCAAAAGGGAAGGAACTGCCTACCGGGCAGGGGGGATCACTGTCTAGTGGGGACCCGATGGGGTCTGACCTCCTTGTCCTGCAAGCCCTGAAAGTGCCTCCCGGGGTTCTCCAGAGCACTGAACCCTGCGCAGCAGCTGCAGGGGCACCAGTGGGCCTCCAAGCTCCAACGTGCCCCGCTGGTAAAGGCAGGAGAGAAAGGCACCTGCAATCATCTCCCTGATGTCTGCTTCTCACCCTTCTCCCCGTCTGTCCCCAGACAACGGGCGGTTGGTGGCACACACTCACCACTCACCCCTTGCCTGCAACAGGCTTTGGCCCCCCACCTCCTTCCCAGGAGCTGGCGCCTTCTGAGCCAGCCAGACCGCCAGCATCCCCACACCACCTGGTGCCAGGTGAGGACAGTGGGGCACAAGCTTTTCGCCCCATGGGCTTCCAGGCTTTGCTCGTAGAAGCTGACTCTGCTGGGAGCAGGGGAGGTGTTTGCCACCCTGCGGTGCCTCCGTCCTGAAGAGCTGTGGGCAGCCGCCCACCCACGTTCCCACCTGTGCCTCCAGCAGCGCCTTTTTCTGCCTGGGCTTCTCCTTGTTCTCCTTCTCTGGGCCCCGCTTGGTTCAGGCTGTGGGGCAAATAAGACCACTGCTTGGGTCCTTCCAGGTGGGCCGGTATCCCCTCGGGAGGAGGGGCTGCTGGAAGACCAGGGAGGTCGGGGGATGGAGGACAGTTGGGACTAGAACGCCCCTAAGGGCCTGGAGGAGGTCGGCTGGAGACCCGCTCCTGGAACGGAAGAACGCTGCGAGGGAGGTGAAGAAGCCAGGGGCTGCCGGCCTCCCAGCCCTGCAACACGTCCCTTTGCCTTCTGCTCACGCGGGTCTTCCCCGCCCTCCAGAGGGAGACACCGAGACCGAGGTCTAGAGCTGTGGCCGGTGCAACTATCTCTGCAGATCCCGGCTGAGAAAAGGCGCAAAGGGGACTAGGTTTCTTTGCTCAGGTATTCAAGGGGCGCCCTTCCCCAGAGGGCACCCCCCAGGGACGCTGGAGGAAGGGTGGGAGAGAGAACGCTGAAAAGGGGCTGAGTCTCCCGGGGCGGACTGGCCTCTGGGGAGGTGAGATGTCGCGGAGGGAGACTTCTGCCAACAGGCTGCGCGAACCAGTGCAGAGTCCGGCAGTGTGCCCCCTCTGCCTGCCCCGCAGCCGGCTCTCCAGAGGCCCTCCTGCTGCCCCCTCACTTTCGCAGCACCCGCTTTTCCCGTGCACCCCCAGTCAGGGCTGCGGACACCCTCAGGCATTTTCCCTCCTTCCGCCCAGCTCAGTCGGCAGCCTCCGCCTCGCAGCCACCCCCGCCCCAGCTTCGGCCAGGGACCCAGATTTTAAATGGAACTTAAGATTTGTTTTTAAAGGACTGACTGCAGATGGCAGCGTCTCGTTCACCTCCTTCATTCAATGCAAAGCTTGTTTCTTCTCAGAAGGGGTGGTAGTCCGTGTCCGTGGTGCAGTGTGAGTGTGAGTGTGTGTGTGTGTGTGTGTTGGGGGTACTGGTGAGTCCTCTGCCCTTGGGCGCCCTGGTCGCATTCTGCACCATTTCCCGGGAGAGGGAAAACTGAATCCCAAGGACTGGGAGTGCAGCTGCCCGACCTACCCGGAGCCCAGCAGCGCCTGCAGGTGGCCCGGCCGCCCTTCTGGTCCCGCTTCATTTACTCACGCATTTCTCCCTCCCGCTCCTCTTCACAGTAAAAAAGACCAAGAAGCCTTTGGAACCTGAAAGAGGTCTCCCCCCACCCACACAAGTCTTCTCTTGCTTTGAACCCAACGACTTCTACTGTCCAGGTTCGGAGCAGAGCTTCCCAGAGCAAGGGAGTGCTGGGTCTCGATCTGTCCGAAGGGTGGCGAGCTGGGCCCCGGGAAGGTGCAGACCGCAGACCCCAGGGCCCTGGTCGGCTGGGGGATTCCTCCTCAATCCCCAGCCAGCCAGCTCCTCCACCCCACCCCGCTCCACCTTCAATCCCGCCTCCAATCCCCCAGCGCAGTCCGGTTGGCCCAGCCTCCCAGCCCTCCGCACCTTCCACCCAGCCTGGGGCGACGACGGGGTGTTTGCCACGGCGCCAGTCCCTTCACCCGTTTCAAGGCTGAGATCGAAACCGCACACACTTAGCGGGCATACCCCACTTCGACGACCTGGAAGTGCACCTCGCCCTCCTTGCCGGCCGGGACCCCACACCCTGACCAAATCAAGATTTCTTGCCCTGAACGTCCGTTTTCGGGGTCTCAAGGACCGGACGGAGAAGGGAAATTTGTGCAGCCTTTTGCTGTGTATTCCGGAGAAACCCTTGCTATGCAAATGACAGCGCGCGCCCCCGCGGAATTAGGCCCGTGAGGGGTGGGGGCGAAGGGCAGTCCCAGACGTCTGCGCAATGGCCGTCAAAGGTGCGAATGTCAGGGAAGGAAGTTGTGTGGGTAAATACGGTACCACGTTCCCTGAATTCGATTTCCCGGAGAATGGAAGGAAGCCGATTCCCGGTTTCATCTGCGGAGAGAAAAGGAGTGCCCGCTCCCCGGCGACGGCGTCCGGCCCCAGTGGCCATCCGCGTCCCCCCCTCGCGGGCCTGAGCCACCCCGCGGCCGACGGCGGCCGCGAAGACCCGGGTCTCGTCGGTGCCGTGAGGCGCTTGCGCGGGGACGAAGCCGCCGCTGGCGGCGCGCTTTCCTGCAGCCCCGGAACCTGCACCGCGGCTTCTGGGCGTGCGCGGAGCCGCTCACTCCGGCCGCGCCGCCTTGACGCCCCGCGGGTCCCAGCGGGCGCAGACAGCGCCCCCTCCCAGGGCGGCCGCGCGGGGCGCGCAGCGGAAACCCGGTCCCGGGGCTGCAGAGACGCGCGCGCGCAGCAGAGCGAGGGTGCCGGGGCGTCGCCGAGAGCATCCGAGGCACAGCCGACGCGTAGTCCTCCACACCTCCTACTTGCCGGTCGCAGCCCCGGCTCCGCTGAGCCGGCGCCCGCGGAGAGCAGACGGGCGGACCGGCGGCTGCACTGCGCCCAGAAGGGCCGTGGGAGGTGCCCCCGCTTTGCCTGTCCGCATTGGTGCCTCCTGCGAGAACCTGGCGGGCTCCTGCACGGGGTCTCCGACTCTGACGGAAGACACTGGGCTCCTCTCCACGTCAGCCTCTCGGGAGGAAATGTCACTGTCCCAGGAAGTTCCAGTTTGGAACTAACTTGTGGTCCCCCGTCCTCCCAACAAAAAGCCACTTCCATTCCTTCCGCTGGGCGGCGGAGCAGAAAGCGAGAAGGAACCTGAGGCGCCTGGCGGAGGGCGAGGTGTCCCTGCAGCGTTACTGGGCCGGGGGAGAGCCTGCGGGTGGTGTTTGAGTGGAGGGCGAAGGAGGGTGCACGGCCGGCGGAGCAGGCGGCAGAGCGGGGGGGGCCCTGCGGGAGGGGCCTGCCCGCGGGAGGAGTGGGTGCTCTCCGCCTCTCGATGGGCAGGGTCCCGGGGCCAGGGCGCCCACGGCCAATGCTCTGTCTCAGCGCACAGACCGTCACACGCTCCACCTGGGGTATCTTGAATCGCAGGCTGCTGGCCACCGAGTGGAGCCGTCGCGGCCCGAGTCCGCGCTGCCCTCACCCCAGGTCAGGGCCTTCCCTAACCGTCGTCTCCGATGGGGCTCCAAGGCCCTGGTCCCTGGGCTGCCTTCTTGTCACACCCAGCCTCCTCGCCCCCTGCCGCAGTCCGGCCTGGGCTGTCTCGGGCCGTCTGAGCTTGCTCCGGGGGCGGCGGGAACCCAGCGCCCTCCAGCATCCTCCGGCCGGCCCCAGGACTCTCGGACCATGCATCCCGCGGGCCGGGGTGCGGCTCAGCCCCGGCTTCCTGGGCAGCAGCGGCCTGGCTGTCCCGCCGGCTGCGGGGTTGTCTTCTCTCCCGACCCGCCGGTCGAGGGCGCCTCCCGGCTGCGCAGCGGGCTTTCGCCGGCCACGCACGCAGCCTTCTCTCGGAGGGCGCGGGTGCGGCTGCGGCATGGGCTCCACGCGTGCCATCCGCGCGCTATGTGCGTGCTCGCGCCGCCCGGCCCCGCAGCGCACCGCCTTCGCTCTGGGAACCCGGCCTGAGGATTGCTCGGTCTGCTGGACGCCCTGAGGGGCAAGGCTGGATGTGTCGGAGCGGCACGCAGTCGGGGTCCCGGGGAGGACCAGGGGCGCTGGCCACTTCTCCCCTGGTGTCCCTCACTGAGAAGCAGGGACAGCCCGGGTTGCCGCTCGGTTTCCCAGAAAAGAAAGGCACCCAAACCAGACCCGCTGGGTCCCATTAGCCTCCCCTGTTCCCTGAACACCAGCAACAGCAACAGCGGTCGCAGCAGTAATGAACGTTTACTGAGCAGCGGGTGAGGGCATTGGTCCTGGTGCTGTACAGGATACGTCACTCAAGACTCCCGGCCCACGTGGTGGGTGAATATGCTGATATTCTCTTGTTCTAATAGGGAAACTGAGGCACAGAGAGGTTAAGTGACTACTCCGGGGCACACAGCTAGTAAGTGGATTTGAACCTATGCAGAAGGCTTGGCTCAGAGCCCATGTTTCTGGCTGCCGTGCTCTGGGATAAAGCAGAGACCTCACCATCACCAGCCTCCAGCTGCGTTGGCGGGCCCACCTCTGTTAATCCAGCCCCGTTTTCTCGGTTGAAGGCCCTGGCGAGTTCCCCTGCTGGGGCAACGCTTAGCAGCACCGGCCCTCACTGTGATGCCTGAAGACCTCTGGCCTTTTTTGGGGCCAGTTCCCCAGAGGTTCCACGGGTCCTTTCTAACCTCAAACTCTTTTCTCAAGCTTTGGAGGAACTGAAATGTCAACGGGGCCCTGGCTCCTCTGTGGAGAGTCAGGGAGACCCCCAGCTGTGTCTGGCTGGTCTCAGTGTACGTGTACCTACAGCTGTCCAATGGGGGTAATGGGAGTGGTGGTGATTTTCACGTGGGGTAATGTACATGCCGCCCCTGCAGCTGACTGCTAACTAGACCTTGTTATCCCTCCCAATCCCCACCCCACGGCCGGGAAGCGATGGGGCGCAATTTCGGTGCTTGCACGTGGCTTGCGGAGTGTGTGCAGGCTTGCAGGAGTGGTGGTAAGATGGGCACCCCCTTTTCTTTGCAGCGTTGCTGGTGTTCCTCCAACGGGAAGGGTGTGACCATCTACTGGGGAGAGGAAGATGAATGCCTGCACGCTTAAGGGTGAAGGGCAGGAGAGGTGAGAATGTCTAGCTTTGGGGAACAACTAGAAGATGAGGCAAAGACCAGGAACCGCACGGCCTCTCCTCCAGGCAGCCAGCCGCTGCCTTCAATCTCTTTCCCAGGTGTCGGCCACCCCCACGGAGTCCCCGCAGTAGCAGCGCCCCTAAGGCGCCAGGCTGGGTCTGGAGTGTTGGGCCGCCCACCCGGATCCCGGGCTGCCATTGCTCCATTGCTCGCGCAGCGGCGCCCACGACCACGCCCTGGAGCCTCGCAAGTGACCTCAGCAGCCTGCCGCGGCCCCGAAGGCGCCCGGCCGCCCCGCGCCCCAGGAAACGGTTGGGCTCCCAAGCCGCCAGCATTGCAGCCAAGACCGGGCAGGTCCGACGCCCGCCGCGCCGCACCGTGGAGTTGAAGGCCCGGCCTGGCCCTGAAGCGAGAGGACGCGCCGGGGCTTGCTGGCTGGCTGGCCGGAGACCGGGAGCCCGGGCGTCCCGCCCGCGCCTGCCCACAGCGCTCCTCCCCTCGGACTGCCACGGCCTCGGGTACAGGGAGGCCCCACCTCGGGGCGTGGAAGTGGGCCTCCTGGGCCGTCCGGGCTGCCACCCTCACCCTCCGGAGGCTGGGGGCGAAAGCTCGCCGGCGCCCACGCGTTGTCGGGAAGGGCCGTCGCGGGCCCTGCGCCCTGACACCAGAACTAGTGCGAGAGCTGGAACCGGAGCCTCAGGGGTTCGGGAAGCAGGTGTTCCCAGGCTAGCCGGGGCCCGGATTTCCATAAACAAAGAGACAGGGCGGCTTGTCGCCGAGTGGGGTGGGGACGGCTGCTAAGCGAATCGCCGACAATTTCCTTCCTAAAATGCGATTCTAGAGCGTTTGATTTCCACTTTCACTCCCCCCGCCCCCGCCCCAACACACGCACAGTCTCCAAAGACACTCAAATTGCAGCCATATGGGGTTAAAGTAATGGGAAGCAGTTACCTTATTTACTGCAGAGGCGGCGCACGCGAACCTGACAGCCACCGCAAGCGGTGTGGTGAAAAGCCGCGGGCGCCGGTTCTTTGGAACTTTGTTTTGTTTAAGGCCGGGAGGGGCACGTGGGAAAAGCCACGCTCTAACTCTGACCCGAGGACACTGGTTGTGCAGAGGCAAGGGGGGGGGGGACGCAAGCGCTGAGCCAGACGGAGGAGGGGGTCGAAGGTGTGGAGCGGCAACAGCCCCGTTCTCCCTGAAATTGTGCCACCAACTGACCTGTCCGAAAGGACCTGTCGGGATTAGCAGGCATGATGGCACCATCCTCGCGCTAGCGCCCTCTCCCTGCACCCGTAGGCGTACTCCAAAGCGCCCCAAGCGAGGACCCCAGCTCTGATTGCCTGAGAGGACACATTTTCTCAGATGGCCACCTCTCGCTTCGTCTCCAAACTGTCGGAACAAAGGTGACCCAGGGGCCTGTTGATGCCCTTTGCAGCCCTGCTGTCCTGTGGAGGGCTGGTGGAGGGCGTGCCAGGCAGGGGTGAGCCCCCTAGCCTCGCGGAGTCGCCTTCACGCCGGCCTGAGCGGTCTCCGCCGGGGCTGAGAACAGCGCGCGGCTGTGTTCCGACTCTCCAGACCTCCAGTTTCCTTCTGGGTCAGCTCCACTCTTGCCGTCAGCTCGGCAGGAATCCCCCCGCCGTCTGCAAACTCAGGCACCTCACAGGCGATCATTTTGCTCAGAGCAAGCGTTTCCTTCCAAAAGAACCGCCATCAGATTTAAAGAGGGCTGCAAAGGGGGAGGGGAGGGAAAAGTTACTAACTACTCCTCCAGAAGAGGGGCAGGCGGGCAGCGCTGGGGGTTCAGTCCCCCCACTTCAGCTTCCCCAGGTATTTAGGTCAAGGAGAAAAAGGGAGCCAGGAAGAGAGGGAGGAGGGAAAAGGAGGAAAGGGAGGGGGAGAGAGCGAGCAGGGAAGGAAGGAACAGAAAGGAGGGTGAAGAGACGGACTGACGGACACCGGGAGGGCGGCCAGGGCTAATTTTCAGTACGAAACTGAAACCGTCATCTTCTGCAGCCTCGGGAAGCCTCGCCTCTCCCAAGGCGCCCAGCGCAAACACAGCGCCCGCACTGGGCTGAGTGAAGCTGTCCCGAGGGCAAACAGCCCTTCGCCCCCGGGCCGAGGTGGGGGAGAAGGGCAGGCAAGTCGGTCTGGCCCCCGGGCAGCTCCGGGCAGGCTCCCTCCCTCCGCCTCTAAGGTGGCCCCGGAGCCCGAGCCGCCCGAGGAGGAGCTGGGGCGCGGGGAGCGGGACCCCGGCGGCCAGGCGGCGGATTCCAGGACGGGGAGGGCGGGCCTGCCGAGCGAGCGACCCAGGCCCGGAGCGGAGGGTGGGCATTCTCTGGGCGGGGAAACCAGACACTTACAGGCGGCTGAGGCCGACTTTATTTTTACTGCCCAAACTGTTGGAAAGAATTTAAGCTTAAACAGAAACAGCTGTATCGCTGGCACAGGCCAGTGAAACGATTTGTTACCGGGAATGACTTTTTATGATTAAGGACGCGGCCGTCGGCGGCCTCTCGCGGGCGGCCTGCGTGGGTCGCCGGGGTGATGTGGGTGTCGCCGGCTCACAGTTCGTTAAGACGGATCGTCCAGGGAGATGCGACTGTTCACCCAGGGCCCACTTGGCCCAGTTTGAGAACAAGCCCCCAAGTCTTTGCCTGCGTTTCCAGGGGCAGGGCCGGGGTAGGGAAGGCGGCCCGTGCCCCGCCGCCGCCCGGCTCTGGGCTTTGGAGAGGGGACCGTGGCGAGCTCTCGCTGGCCTTCCGGCCTCTAGACAGCGGCCGGGGCTCACCCCTTCTCTCCGTCTCTCTCCCCTCTCTCCCCACCCCATCCCTCGCCTGGGAAACAGCTTGCAATTGAGTTGGCCCCCCAGGTTTTAAGTAAGCCACCGGCTGGGAGGAACGGGGCGCTGTGACTTGCACTTGGGTGACCCAAGAAGGCGGTGGGCAGCGCCAGCGCGGACTCCCGCACCGCAGCGGTTCGCAGCAGAGGGCCCCCCCGGGCCGCGCCCTCCAGACCCCTCAGCGCCCCGCAGA